TGGATTTGTCTTCATTGAAAATAGGATGATAAGTATTGGAAAATGATATTTCATCAATGATAATAATACTAATATTGTGATCTTGGTCGATTAACAATGCTGCCAGTGACGTACATTTATACGTGTAATCCAAAGTGGATTGAAATAAGTCAAATGCTGCTTTCCGGACAAACGTCAAGTGATCGACACAACGTGTATTCTGGCAAAAAGTAAGGTCTCTACTGATGAACTACAGTGTTGAACAACGCCTCTCTGGGGAAATTCGATGCTGAATATATTCAATAGAATGGCAAAAACGAGGTCTGCCGCACGCACACATTCTTATATGGTTAGACGAAATAGATAATATAGAAAATGCATGTTATTCACATAGTCAATTGTACGTGGCAAGTTCACGAGACAGAAAACCATCTAGTTTATTCATTTTTGCACCTGATAACAGAACGCAAAATGTTGTATATCACGGGGTGCTTCACTAAAGAATGCACTTTTTCTACCAATTCTCATTTATTTTATTAGATGCCAATACCATTCATTTTTTCATACTTAATAATTTTGTATCAGTTTGAAATGCATTCATTGAATGTCTGCTAGTTGATTATAGTTTTGCTTCCAGGGGGGCGGCTGCCTTTCTGTCCCTCGCTGGGTACGCCCATGCTATATCCCGAGTACATCTCAATCATAATCGTCTTATTTCAGAAAGGATAGAATGAAATTCTCTTCCTGAAATCTCCCAATTAGCTCACTCCGCTCATGCGGCGAGCCTTTTCCGATTTTCCCGACATTTTCCACGATCGAACGGTTCGAATCACCCCGCCCGAGTAAAAGATAATCGCCTTACTTACCGCCGGCTTGATGGAGACAGCTTTTCTGTACCAAGTCTCAGCATCCTGATATCTGACAGCTTGTCGCATCGCAGTTGCCGCGGCCACAGCCAACTCGTGGTCTTCCGGTCGCAATTCTGCCGCTCTTTCATAGAGATTCGCCGCCTCTTTGTATCTTCGCCGAGATGCCAAGAACTCTCCTGCAATAAAAATGACTCCAGTAATATAAAATCCGTCGAGGCTGGATGTTTCGGTAATGGCGGGGGTGCTTACGGAGAAAAGGTTTTTGGGTCGCATATTTGGGAGAGATTCTTCGATTTATAAAATTTCTTTGTGACGTTCCGTTCCTTAGAAATCATGTTTTCTGAGAGACATAAGGAAAGACACGGTTCTATTGAATATGCGAAGTTTTTTTAGTAGAATTATTAGTTTTTGGCAAAATAAGGTTTTTACTTTCTATATTGATAATAATGACATTTATTTGCCATTCAATTTAAAATATACAATAATCTTAGTTGACCTCAAATGAATATAGTTCCCACAGAAGGATAAACCAGTCCTTTTATATGAACATTGACTTACACATAAAACAATTTTCCCTATTCAGTGTTTACTCCAAACATTAGTTATGGAATCATTCATAGGATTGCTGAAGGAGCGAAAATTTCATTTACATGAAACACTGTCATCCTCAATGGCGGATTTCCGACGTTTCGAATTGAAACATTTGCCTTATTGCCTCTTCGGGATAACATCACAAGATTAAACACTCAATTCATTCATAATGTTATGACATTAAAATCTTCCGAAATCTGTTTTTCCATTACCCAGATGTCACTCTTTCCCCACGAATGACAACCCTCAGAAGTCGAAACTTGTGCGAGCTCATTTGATTCAGTCAATAAGGTGCCTTATTCCTAAACATCAGATGTTTGCCATCGACGATGATATTGTTCCATGTCCCAATAAAATGACTTCTGGATATGATCTTATTTCCAGGTTCCTAGTGAGGGATTGTGCTCAGGTTTTTGCTTATCCATTGTTAAAAATATTCAACACAATCCTAAGCAAATCTCATTTTCCTGAACGATGGAAACAATAAAAAATCTGCCCAATTCTCAAGTCAGGAAACCCAGAGGAAATTGTGAACTCTAAATCAATATCTATTCTGTGTAATTTCGCTAAGGCCTTTGAGATATCTGTGTATGACCAACTAATGCCACAAGTCAAACCCCTGATCTCAGCAAACCAGTATGAATTTCTAGCAAATAAGTCCACTGTATCGAATCTCTGCAGTATCAAGCAGTTTTTGATAGAAGTAATGGATAAAAAAGGACAAGTTGACGTTATATACACAGATTTTGCAAAGGCTTTCGACAGAATAAGTCACTCCATTTTATTAGAGAAAATAGCTCAAATGGGTTCAAATCTCTCACTAACTCAACTTCTACGCTCTTATTTGGATCAGAGAACCAACGTTGTTTTTTATAATGGATTTGCGTCTGAACCATACTCATCACCATCCAGTGTGCCACAAGGCTTCAATGTGGGACCACTGCTTTTCCTTATCTTCATATATGATCTCACCTCCGAGCTTTCGTGTAGCAACTTACTTTGTGCAGATGACTTGAAGATATTTTCAACTATCACAAGTTTAGAGAGCTGCTCTTATCTCCAGTCTCAATTAGACCTGATAGATAACTGGTGTCAAATCAATGAATTGGCAATGAATGGTAGAAAATTCAAAGTTTGCTCCTTCACACGTAATGCCAATATTATTGGGTATTTTCATACTTTCGAGGATGAAACAGTCCTTCGCGAAGAGGCTGTCAAAAATCTAGAGGTGAAGTTGGACAGCTGGTTAACATTTGTTGGTCATACCAATACTTTCGTGACATCGACTAGAAAAATGTTTGGCTTTGTTCTGGGCAACTGTAAATCATTCACCAATATTTTCGCCTTAACCATACTCAATACATCTCTCGTTCTCTCCAAGTTAGAGTATATTACATTGATTTGGTATCCTCTCTATAATGTACATAAGGAAACCTTAGAAAATGTGCAAAAGCGTTTTCTGAAGTTTTTGCATTTAGAACTGATGGCGTGTACCCTGCTAGAGGAACTGAGCAATTTACACTACTTCAATGATTCGGTCTGCCTTCCTTGAAACAACGCAGAATTTCATTAAGTATTGTTACGTTATACAAAATTTTACATTGTTCCACCCTCGTTACTAGAACAAATCAACTTCAACGTATAGTATTTCCAATACCAATTGAAACAGCACAGAGAAGAAATTCCCGTCTCGACATAGGCGTCGGCATATTATTTTTCAGTGGTAGATTTTCAGTTACTTATTCTTACAATCATAGCAATTGATCACCTCATGAAAAAGTTATCTCAACTGAATTTTTCCACCATGGGTAATTATGAAAAACTTCGAAATTCAAGGTAGTTGATTTCCGAGTAGAAAACTCTAAAATACAATGGAAACACAAATAATCACACCAAATTCTCGTCAAACATATATTTACAAAATAATAGGAGCCAACAAAATTGACAGAAAAATCAAAATTCTTCTTCGCTATATTCGGATGAGGTGAAATCATCATCGGGTTGAATAACGATCGGATTTATGGAACTTTGCACATAATATTTGTTCTCTTCTGTTATAACGTGGGCCACACAGTTCTTCCACACATCACTATTACCTACTTCATTCACCACTGACCTTATATTATCAAGCACTACAGCATTCAAAGTCGGTGACTGATTACATTTCCGCAAGCTTTCTTTCATTGTGGCCCAAACCATTTCAATTAGATTGAACACACAATAGTGTGGAGGCAAACGTGTTTCACACATCGAATCAATGATATACTCTTTTTTTGAAATGACGTTGTTTCATGGTCGCCAGTAATACCTTTTTCGTTGAAATCTTTTCAGGTATTTCCATGTCATGATTTCGCATGAAATCAACAATATCTGCTTTTTTCATGTTATTGTTTGGTATTGTAGTCAATAACCGGGAACGATACGAAGCGTTATCCATAACAATAACCGAGTTTGGAGTAATATTTGGGAGAAGCTGCTCACTGAACCAGGTTTCGAATAAAGCCGCAGTCATATCTTCGTGGTATTCAGCAGACGAATCTTGTATATTTTTGGCCGACAGAAGCAAAGCGTTAGGTACGAAACCACTTTCATTTCCGGCATTCAAAATTATAACACGTTTTCCCCTTGAAGAAGGTGTGTTCAAAGCACAATACTTGGTTTCGTTTACACAGCCATATTTGACAACATCATTGGTGTCAAACCAAGTTTCGTCAGTTTTAATCTTCCTCTTTGAAGATGATCACTTGATGATCGAAACACATGTCGAGGTGTTGAAAATAACGATTTGGTGTTGGGAAAAAACTCCAGTTACTACACCAAAGGTTCCAAACAAAATAATAGGAGCATCATAAGTAGATTATATGTCTGCTGGATTCTCGGTAGCTTTTCATTCGCCTCAAATATTCTTGTCGAAGTTGAAAAATGCGTGTCGATTCCATTATGACCATCCGATTGTTCAATTTTTTGTATTTGAAACCACAAGACAATAAGACAACTCGTAGAGTAAGATTTGTGATTGTAATCGGGATAGTCGAGTAATTTATACCAAATCATTTCCGAGGTTGGTACTTCATTTTTTTGGTATATACCATGAATTGTTCGCCGAATCACATCTTTTGTAGCACCATCAACGTTTGCGAATTTTTTATTCCTTTGTGTTAGTTTTGTTTGTCAATGTCAATGACATCTCCTATTTCAATGACTTGAAGAACTGTCGAACGAGATAGTTTCGTTAACTCGCATATTCTATTCACAATAGCATTATGTGAAGTGTGACAGTTTTTCTTCTTCAAGCATTGATGAATATTTAAAATTACTCGCTGAACTTGAACATGTAAGTCCTTATTTTCAAATCCCGGATCCCTGTTGATTGACACATATTTCTCACACGTAATGTTATCATTTATTTCAAAAGGTCTCCAGGAAGTCTTATTGATGAAAGTACTCAAAAACACTAAAATTTTCACAAAAATCGGTTTAAACGATGAGATTGAAACCTTTGGTGTAAAAGTTTTCAAAAATCAGTTTGCAAAACTACTCACTATCTCACCTAACCCCACGAACACACGGCAGTGATGAAGAAATATTGTGAAACGGACAAAAAATCAGTATTCAGCCAGTCCAGCTAGCTGAGCCTTCATTCCTTAACTACATTTGATAGCACGTTTACCAACTTCTGGGCGACTAGGGGCCACAGGCAAGAAATGTTTATGACTGTACTCTTATTTTTATTGCCGTTCCAATTGGGAATGGATAGACTATTCCTCAAGCTACTACACGTAGACGAATCACTTTCTATACCCTGTTTACTAGATCCAACCTTGAAAAAGTGTCTCCTATAAATTTGATGTGTGAGAATTATAAAACCCACTGCAGTCAATGCGATATTAATATCGATCCACTGAAGATCATATTATCCAAAATTGAATAAACCATCATCTAGCTTACTGTCTTCATTTCATGTTATTTACAAATGATAATTAATTAATATGTCATCTTTTTTTAATAACTGGATGATGTATGTGAATTTATTGTTTAATTTGTCAAATCATCAATTTGTCAATCTTCTGTTATATATTCAGTTTAAGTAGCCTTTATTTATACTGCATTATTATATTATATATTGTCCTGTAAATGGATTCATCTGTTGGACAATAAATTTAGTTTTTCTTTTTTTTTTAGTGAGTGATATTCAACAATAGCATTCCCAAGCGTACGTTTTATAGTGAAAAACATACAATAAACTGTAATAATAAGTTTCAATATGGATTTCCATCAAGTGTCGGCCAGTTCTATTCAAGAATTCGTAAATGACTGAACTCGTATTTTTTAACGATAGGACTTCATTGTTAAAATCTATCGTGCCCTGACATGAGACCGCAGAGCTGGCACTCGAGTTACCCTACTCACTAGTCGCAGTTAGATGCATTAACCGTATGCCGCGTATTTTTTAGATTGGAATGGAATTGATACTATTCAGATTGATGTTTCGATACAAATTGAAAATGTCTTATCATATCAATAAGTTGAGATATTGAGTTCGAATTGAAGAATTTCCATGTTACTCCCTTGAGATTATGTGAAT